CAAAAAAAAAAAAAAAAAAAAAAAATATATATATATATACACACACACACATATATATATGACCTTATATGTATAAAATGTTAAAAGATATTTTAAAAGAATAAATTAAGAAGCTTATAAAAATTTTAAACATTTAAAATAAGCAAGAAAAATGAAATGTTAAAGTAGACACATTCATATGCATGGCACTGGAATATTCTGATGTTCATGCTTAAAATGTTTTTTACAGGATTCATTTTCTCCACTTATTTGTGGGAAAAAAATCTTCTGGTCTTTAATTCTTACAGAGTAAATGGACTCCCAATTAGGAAAAGTGCCATATGTCAGACACATAACTGGTGGTAATTAGGGTTCTGAGATGCTCTTGTGCAAAAAGAGATTCACCTGTTTTTCATGAAAGTCTGGTTTCCCAGCAAGAGGATTCAGATACACCTGCAGCAACAGCTTGAATCAAAGGAAAAAAATCTGGGACTACAGACAGATGGGTATATGAACACTTAAAAGTACTGGGACAACCTAGGGCAATGCTTTTAATTTAAAATTAAAGTTAGAATTTTAAAGATAAATTTGTCCACATCTTGTTATAAAGGTAAGTGTAAAGGATAAAGTGAACTCAACTCTATGAACTGCCACCTAAATAACTACACTAAAAATTCTAAGAAATGCAGAAGACACACACCCCTACGAACTCACAGATATACATAATTTAAATAGGTTCTCTTTAGGCCAGTGGCACCCAAACTCTGATGTATGTTATGATCACCTTGAGAGCTTTAAAATCCTGATGCCCAGGTCACAATCCAGATATATCAAGTCAGAATGAGGTGAGTGAGGAAATAGGCATCAATCTTTTATAGATCACAGATGATTCTAATGTACAATAAAGTTTGAGAACCATTATTTTAAGGCAAAGTTTGACAATGCCTCCATTACCAAATTAATAACTTAATTTGGAGCCATTACAGTTATAAGTCTCTAACTGCCTAGACTGACTGAATTACCACGGGAAGCTTCTTGTAATAACAATCTGCAAAATGCCATGTTTGCATAGAGATAGAAGTTGAAGTGCTAGATATACTAAAAATATACGATTTAAAGAAAAAAAGGGAGAGGAGTGGTATTCGATTTCTGAACTCCTTAAAAAGGTTACTCATGAAACATTGAGTTACTTCTACTCGCCAAGAACAACCAACTCTGACACTGAAATTATAGCCCAAAGAGAAGAATCATTCTCTGAGAGAGATGTTTATTCCACAAAGCACACACTATATACCTAGAACACTTGGGATGTTGCCATTCCAGTATACCACAATCTACCCTCCATTTATACCTCTCAACTTAATCTCAACAGACAAGCCAGAAATTTACAGGAGTTTCAAATAAATTAAGGGTGTGCTTCCAGACTTACCTGCTGGAAACTAGATATACAGCTCACCCTGATTCATGAGACAACAAAGGTCTCTCAAAGGGTCAAGATACAACAGATGGAATATGGTTGACAACAGATCATTTACAACCTCTGCTTCTTGAACCACTTTTCCCCATGCCTGTGTACAAACTTTTTTTTTTCTGGCGTTGATGGACATAGGTATGTATTAACAGAAGTGGATGAGACATCTTGGGGCTAATGTTTACAATGGATCCATAAACCTGCTGTTAGAACACCAAAACAGAGTTTAGTGACTTGACTTACCTTATGGCACATGTAGGATCCACCTTTCTTCACCCGGTCTTTCCCAGAAGGGGGCCCTTTCTGTGGATGAAGAGAAGAGAACTCGTTAGTCCATAAAGCACAGCTGTCCCTCCCACAGTCAGAGGGTCTATTTTAAGCCAAGCAGCTCTCACATGGTTGCCTGAAGTCTCCACATGCATTTCTGCCCCTGGGTCTTGCACCTTCACCCATGCACCTTCTCGAATGCCCACCTTTCCAAATCCTACATCTTCTGAGGTCCACCTCAAGTTCCGACTCTTTGGTGAACTCTTTGTGACTGCCTTAAGCAATCCAAACCCCTACAGTGTTTCCTACCTAGATGACTAATAAGCTGCTTTGCAGCACCTCTTAAATCACCTTCTCACACTGATGGGCAAATTTATCCTGCATTATAACCAGCCAGCTCAACTAGATTGGCAAGCCTCTTTGAATTATGTTTTTAAAATCCTACTGTGCAACACCTAATAAACCCTTTGCTGACTGAATAAATGGATATGCTTTTTATCTTTAAAAAAATTTTAGGTCAGGTTTACTGAGGTATACTTTATATACAGTAAACTTTTATACTTTTAAAACTTTTAAATGCACACTTCTGATGAGTTTTGACAAGTGTATAACCATCACCACAATCAAGATACAGAACATAGTTTATCTTTTTCAAAAAGATTTATACAGTATTTATTATGAACCAAGTAGGGTTCTAAGTGTTCTGCAAATACTAACTCATGTAATTTCTGTAACGACTTCTGAGATTAAGCAAATGCCAGAACGAGGATTCACACCGAGGCAGGCTGGCTCAAGAGTTTAGAGACCAAGAGTACAGGAAATTGGGCAAGGCCTAAAAGAAAGCAAGAAGGAACAGTGGCGGGACTTTCCTGGTGGCTCAGTCGTTAAGAATCCGCCTGCCAATGCAGGGGACACGGGTTCGAGCCCTGGTCCAGGAAGATCACACATGCCACGGAGCAACTAAGCCTGTGCACCACAGCTATTGAGCCTGCACTCTAGAGCCCTTGAGCCACAACTACTGAGCCCATGCGCCACGACTACTGAAGCCCATGCACTCTAGGGTCCATGTGCTACAGCTACTGAGCCCGTGTGCTACAACTACTGAAACCTGTGTGCCGAGAGCCCGTGCTCTGCAACAAGAGAAGCCACAACAATGAGAAGACCACGCACCTCAACAAAGAGTAGCCCTCACTCACCGCAACTAGAGGAAGCCCGCACACAGCAACGAAAATCCAACGCAGCCCCCCCCTCCAAAAAAAAAAAAAAGAAGGAACAGTGGCTACCACTGCAATGAGAACTGGAGGCAGAAAAAGCCAGCCAAGAGGTAAGACTATTACTTCTAGGGAGGGCTCTGGATAAATGTGCAATGGAAATGAACACCGTAAAGCTGCCAGGACAAAAGCCTCATCATCAGGTAAGCCGTGCAAAGAGTATTTGAGAGTTACCAGTAAATTCCTACAAACCAGAGCCACATCTGGGAAGTCTGAGGGGGACAAGAATTTTTTGCTTTTCCTTTGTTATACGAGAAGTCAACTAATCATACAGCTGCCTGTTCTTTGCTTAATGAAAATAAGAGAAGGTTGAACAGAGCCTCCTATATTAGTTTTCCTTTTGCTTGTCAAAGGCCCAGACGTCAGTGGCAGAAGTTAAAAGAACCATGTTTTCTCCAAGCATGGCTAACACACTGACTCGCAAATGTCAACTTGTGGGGACAAGTTCATGTTTTCTTCTTAGCCAGGTACTTAAAAGCTGTCAAAGACCAAGCCACTGGTTATTTTTCATTCCACTACAAGGCCACAGTATTTCCATGGCCTTAAATGTTTTATGTTACATTAACAAACTTTTATTGATTAGAAATGCACAAGCTATAATTGAGAGGAGCTACATGTGAAAATAATGACTTCACAAAACAGCACCCTTCCCAAGAGTAAGTGGAATCTGACAGCCATTACAACAGAATCTGCTGGGTGAGTTTATCATTCTATAAAAGCAGCATAATCACCAAGAATTCACTGAAGCAGAAATGAAAGCATTTAAAGCTGTGTAGCTATCCCATAGAATGGCTGCTCTCTCCTACATTAAATTTCTTGCTTGGGGTCTTGCGTTACACTGCTTCAGGGGGGTCTCTGCATGCTGGGTTACAATGGAAAAAATGGCAGTTTAAATGCTGATTACAGTCTCTCACAGTATCTGCTATCATGCAAGATTAAATTCTTTTGTCAAGTTAGATCCAAGAACAAGAAAAAGGAGCTGATTTGCCAACAGGAAGGAGAACAGAACAGTTCCCTTTCACCACCATCTCCAATGAAGGAAGTCTGCAATCAATAAAAATGACACTCATCAAAGTGACCCAAGCACTCATGAGAGTCATCCCGGGCTGATACGACCACAGCAGTTAACACAGTCCTCTAGGTGGCTGCTCATCTGGTCCTTGTAAATAAAACTATTTTTGCCAGAAAACAACATGATGTAGGATCAGCTACATCTGTTTGAAATGCTTACCACTTTGCAAAAAAAAAAAACCCAGAAAAATTACTCGGAGTGCCTAGTGGGTTGAATAGTGTCCCCCCCAAATTCATGTTCACTCAGAGCCTCAGAATGTGACCTTATTTGGAAATAGGAACTTTGCAGATTTGTAATTTTCTGTATTAGTTAAGATGAGGTCATACTGGATTAGGGTGAGCCCTAAGTCCAATGACTGGTGTCCTTATAACAGGAGGAGAGGACACAGAGAAGGGCATGTGAAGATGGACGCAGAGACTGGAGTGATGCAGCTACAAGTCAAAGAATGCCAAGGATTCCGGGGAACTGCCTGAAGCTAGGAAGAGACAAGGAAGGATTCTAGAAACTCTGAAGTGAGCATGGCCCAGCCAGGACCTTGGTCCCAGACTTCTAGCTTCCAGAACTAAAAGAATAAATTTCTATTGTTTCAAGCCACCAAGTTTGTGGTAATTTGTTATGGAAGCCCTAGGAAACTAACATAAGGGGGAAATGTCTCCATTTCTTTTCATTAAGGAAAGGATCGATAAATCAAAATTAACATTGTCTCTCATGATCAAGTTTGTTACTGCAGGTTAAAACAACTTGAGAGGGCCTCCCTGGTGGTACAGTGGTTGAGAGTCTGCCTGCCCATGCAGGGGACAGGGGTTCGTGCCCTGGTCTGGGAGGATCCCCCATGCCACGGAGCGGCTGCGCCCGTGAGCCGTGGCCGCTGAGCCTGCGCGTCCGGAGCCTGTGCTCCGCAACAGGAGAGGCCACAACAGTGAGAGGCTCGCGTACCGCAAAAAAAATAAAAAAAAATAAAACAACTTGAGAAGCTACCGACGGTAGTGTCTGAATACCTCACCTTTCTGCCTGTATACTTGGCAAGAAGAGAGGCTGCCGTGCCGCACAACCTGCACCACCAGTACTCAAGAATCTAAGTAAAAATACACACTGAACACAGAGACCCTGATCAGAAACAGACAAGAACCCATGTGAATGTTGTCTCCAAAGGGACTACTACCCATAACTGCTCTACTCCCAGACAGCAAAATACGAACAGGTCTTTAATGCTTGGATGATTGCAAGGACAGCAAGAAGAAAAAAAAAAAAGCAGGTTTCTAAATGTTAGCTCCAATAATCTCAAAAGGCTAAGCAAGGTGCATCTCAAGTTCTCAGGACAAGAGCTGAGGGAGTAATGCTCTGAGTGCTAGTGCAGGGGAATAGAGTCTCATCTAAAACACCTCGGAAGGCACAGAAGTCCTTAGTGATGAAACAAATCCACAGTAGATGCCACAGAACCACTCCTCAGCAAGACTGGCTTGTTGAATGAGGAGTAAGCCTGCAGGAAGAGGGCTGACCAATGTGCTAGGGGTGGCCAGGTCGTTCTTCACAGGAGCATAAACAACGACATTTTATGTAGTCAAGAGATACGCTTCCCTTTCCCTCCGTGTCATATGTAATACGACAACAAGGACAGCAAAAGAGGGAACAGAGCATCTGACAAATTTTCATCAGTCAGGAAAGAGACAAAAAGCACTTCTTTTAAACCATGTGTGATGAAATCCATAGTGAGGAATACTAAGCAGCTGTTAATAAAAATGAGGCATGTTAAAAAAAATGAGGCACTTCTGTATGAGTATACTGTACTGTCACTTTCACTTAGAAAATGACATGGAATCAAGCATTTATTCTGATTTTCATATACGTTGTGCCCCAGCGGGGAGTTGATTACCTAGAGTGAGCATCTGGCCCTGGGGCACAGGAGGGTGCCTCACCCCACAGGCCGCTCCTCACGGGTCGGGCATGCACTCGTCCATATGTGCTCATTTTCATTCACTTCAGTGTATGGTTTGACCCATGGATTATTTAGAAGTATGTTTATTGTCCAAATGTTGGACATTTCCTATTTTATTTCTGTTACTGATTTCTAGTTGGATTCCACTGCAGTTGGAGAACACACTCTGTATGACTTGAATTTTTCAAAATTTGCTGAGGTTTATTTGATGGTGCAGGATACGGTCTATCTTGGTATATGTTCCATGAGTACTTGAAAAGAAGGGGTATTCTGCTGTTGTAGGGTAGAGCGTTCTACAAATGTCAATTAGATCCCATTGGTTGATGATATTGTTGAGTTCTTCTATATCCTTGCTGATATTCTATATAATTGTACCATCAATTGTTCAAAGGAGCATTACAGTCTCCACCTACAATTGCAGGTTAGTCTATTTCTCCTTTCAATTTTGTTAGTTTTTGTTTCCTATGTTTCAGCTCTCTTCACTGGGGCATACATATTTGGTATTACTATATCCTCTTGGTAGATTAACCATTTTATTATTACACAATGTCCTTCTCTGACTCTGGTGATTTTCTTTGCTTTGAAGTCTACTTTATATGACATTAATACAGCCA